GATAATTAAGGATTTAAGATGATTTAACAATTATATACATATGCTTTTATTATTCGTTTAAAAATGCTCGCACAAATCTCAACAAATTTTTAACCGATCTAAAAAAAATAGCCACTTTATTTTTATGCTCGAAGCTTTTAAAGCAAATAATCGATACTTTGATATGAACGTAATAAATGCAGCCCATCTTTTAACTTTAATCAAACTATAATAAATACTACTATTCCGTTTTTCGTTCACCTAAATTTTAAAACTTTTTCAGCAAAACAACCCAAAAACTGAAAGATGGTTTTTATATTTAGCGGATAATGAAGGTTATAACTTTTTTCAAAATTTTTTATTTTTTATTAGGTTTTTTAGGAGGCATAGCGAAGATTATGAAAAATAGAAAGAAGATTTAATTAATTGATTGGATGCTTGAGAACCCCCTAAATAAGATTATGCATTTCACATCTGACTCGAAATAAATCAAGATCTAATCGGAAGAAATAAGATTATTGTGGTGTTTTTAAATAAATTCTAAGTTTCTATTAATATAAGTCATATTAGAAGTCTATTAATGTTAATAAAAAAAAATAGAATTTAGAAATGATAGTTAAATACTTTCGTTACGATCTTTTGATTTTGGTCTTTTGACGATCATTGATTATCAATTCATCAACCCGGTAAAACATCCGATCCAAATTACGAAAATGTTAAAATCCAGGAAACAGATATCATATGTAGACAATCTCTCATCGCCTTACGGAGCATGATCAGAGCACGCACTGCACAGTGCAAGCAATAGCACAAGCACTGGCAATAGCAAGAAGATTATATAAAACCGTCTCAATTTGGTGAGACCCTTATTTCCTTTTATATTGAATTTTTTCTAATTTTTCGCTGAAAATGGAAGCAGGTCTTAATCACAATATTCATATGTGTAACACGAAAACAAGACAACTTGATTAAAGCGTTAATAATTAAAGCGTTAATTAAAGCGTTAATTAAAGCGTTAATTAAAGCGTTAATTAAAGCGTTAATAACAAACGCGAAACATCCGAAGAACAAGTACGCGTAGGAGGAAGAGGTTAAAAAGAAAGAAACATAAAGATATATTAGCAAGTGGCGGCAATATGGAATATTGCAGTAAAAGAAACAAACCTTTTTCCTTAACATAATATGGTGTAATTATTATTATAAGCCCCTACCTTTAGTATTAATCTCTCGAATTCTTTAAAGATGTAAAATGTCCTTAATCCCTAAGCCTATAGGATAGTAAAAGCTATAAAAGAACTGAGATTTCACTCTTGGCATTCCAATATTTAATTCATAATACATTTAATCGATAAATTCCTTAAATTCCTTTAATAACATTACTTAAATAAAATTACCAAATCACCAACGTCATGTTTGCTTCATATCATAAAGTCTATATTTTATAGTATAGATTATCGAACATACGATTCACCCCGTAACAATAATATAGTCTGGTCCCCAATTTATAAGTGCAATTTCTCTCAAAGTGTATGGTATGAGAGAATGCGCTTTAGGAAGGTGCGACAGTATATTTTTTAATTAAAAAGAATTTTAGCACACAAAAAGAGCATAAAGATTGTGGGCTTCACTTCACTTTATTCCGAACAATTAAAAAAATTTTTAGTGCGCTTTGAAAGCCACTTTTGGAAACTAAAATTCGCACGTACACAACGATTAATTAATTTTGTGAAACATGTAATAAAACAGTATCGTAATTAAACCGCTTTTTTAACCAATATGTACTATTATTAGAGCAATTATCAATGAAAAAATAAACAGTGATACTAAATTTAAACTATGAATTTAGAAATTTACAGAATAAATAGTTATTAACGTTAACATAATTAGTTTGGGATAATGAATGATTAGTACAAATTAGTATTATTAGTATGCAGGTAGTCAAATCTAAAAATACTGTAATACAAAAATATTCTCAAGCCTGCCGTGTCTTAAATTTTGGTCGAAAGGGACAGACAGGTAAAAGTTTTTTTTTTCAAATCCTAATTTACTACCCTTTTTTTCAAAGGTCCCCTCAAAAAAAAAAAAAAAAAAAAAAAAAAAAGAAGTTGGAGAATACTTTTTTCGTAAGGTCAATTTACTTTATTATAATAAACAAGATTATTAATATTAATACAAAATATAGCTAATTATGTATGATGCGCTATCTAACAAAACGAGATACATATTATTATAGGCATTATCGTTATGTAGAGAAAATCTTTAATTTACAAATATGCATTTACATCTCAGGGTGTGAAAATCGAATCGCGTAATATTGTTATTATTGTAATTTCAATAAAAAGATTTTATGTGAAAAAAAAAAAAAGGTATTCTAAGATCGATTCTGTAATATTTTATATGTTAAATTGTTTAATCACTTTTTTTCAAGTCATAATTTGGAAGTTTGATGCCAGAATCAGCTAGAAGACCTGCGAGTGCGTTGTACCAGGCGACCAGAGCAGTAATGATTCCAAGAATACCACCGATTTTAGTTGCAATGTTGACATCTCCGACAGGTCCAGCGGGGGTAAATTTACCAATAGTAAGAAGTAAGAAAGTAAGGTCCAAAAGGAGGAAGAGAACCATTATTCCAGCGTTTGTACGGAAAGAGGCAATGAACATCAAGAAGGTAACTGAAAAGAAAGCATGTTAAAATTTTTAACATTTGAGAGATAAATTTGAGAGATTATCGAAAAAAAAAAAAACAACTTACAGATTGTCCAAGCAAGAAGGTAGATGCCGACAGCGTGTTCGAATGCTTCGATGTTAGCAAAGCTGCCAGGCACACCAAATCCGGGGATAATGATACAAGCGAACGATAACCAGAAGCCACCATATGAAGAGAAAGCGGTAGCACCGAAAGTATTACCAGTCTTAAATTCCCACATACCAGCTAAAAGTTGTGCGAGACCTCCATAAAATAGAGCCAAACCAAGAGTGATAGATGGAGAGGAGACATTAGCGGAACCTGTGTTGGCGATTGAAAGTACGAATGTGGTTAAAGCGAAACCGCAGAGACCAAGAGGGGCTGGGTTTGCAATTTTTGGTGGAGCTTGGTATTGGTAGTTATTGTATTGTTTTCCGTCTTCAATTGACATCTTTATTAAACTATTGTAATAAAAAAAGAATTTTAGGTGTTAAAAAGAAAAAAGAATTTAAGTGTTGGGTTAAAAAAAGGAGAAAAATAAAAAATAAAAAAAATAATACTAACGTTTATTAGATATTATTATTATTATTTGCAAGTTGGAAAGTTGAAAATTGAATTTATAGATCAATTATTAAATAACGGTAATTAAAAAAATTTTATTGACACTTTCAGTGGGGAGAAAAGGAATAAAGTATGCAATTTATAAGGAATTTTCAAATATAATAACATAATAGCGGAAATCCGTACTTTTTCATTTTGTACATATGTGTCTTAATTACTTGAGTACAAAAAAAAAAAGGGGGTGTACAAATTTATAAATTTATTTTTTTATTTCGTTATTTAATAATTATTTATACAATCGATATTAGGCCGTTTTCTGAACAAAAACCCTACTGTAGTATCATCTAGGCGACACTAAATGGTAGGAGATTATTATTGGTTTTGCAATTGAAAATTGGTTAAAGTAAATAACTTTATGTATGTGACAATTTAAAACGCGTGATCGGTCAAAAAATGCAGTTAATTGTTGACTATGAAGGGTTGCAAATTTACACTAAGAAACGATTGAATTGATATGTACTGTACGTACTTACATATCTTTTAAGTGTAATAAGAAACAAATATCCTGTTAATCTATTTATATTATTATTAACAAATAAATAATTATAATTTAGTGTAACAGATTTCATGTCCTAAAGAGTAAGCAAACGTACCGTTTCGCAGGGCGTAAAAATGGATTATGCCAATTTTATTGGGGCTTATTTTCATGCATGTAAAAGGCATTTACACATACTGTATGCACATACATGTATGGTAGCTTCTTTTTTTATTTCTTAATGCTAATGAAAAATGATATGAATGAGATTTATCAATGAAGTCTGTTTTTGGCCTTTCAGATCGGCGTAATTTGTAAATGACTTCCATGCCGTTCTTTTCATTGAATAGCAGTATAACATTTCGATTTATATTCGTCTTACTATTAGAATGGACCGTGCCGTTAATTTTTCCAATACACATAGCGATAGTAAAAACAATGAAGCTTACTACTACCGAGTTCGAGTCTCCATGAATCTCCCTCCATAATCAAACAACCTATTGATGCAGTATCTGGTCACTATTCAAATGATTATGCTCCCCATAAACCGTAAAAGGACCAATTGAATATATAAAGTTTTAAGTCAATTAATTTCCCTGAAATTCTGAAATTGTAGTGCGCACGCGTTTAAAGTTACCACAAAATGTCAGGTATTAATATGGTTAGTGATTTAGGGTTAGATAATTTTAATTACAAACTCAAACTCACCGGATTTACTAAGAAAAGAACTAAATTTTATGTAAATCACAGTTTTAGAGACTGATTTAATCATAATCATAAGCAGTCTAAAATTATCCTGTTACAGTACAAACACACATTATGTCGCAGCTTCGTAATATGGTATGAATTTGTTTATTTATTTGTTACATTACATTACATTCAATAAAATTTATAATGATTGGTTATTATTTTTGTTGAAAGTGCATTTATAAAAAAAAAATTTTTTTTTTTTTTTAACCAAATTAGATACCGTGTAAGAAAGAAGGTTTTACAATTAAAACGCCTAGAATTTTTTTCAAACCTAATTTTATATTAACGTTAATAAGTTTCGAAAAGTAAAAAAGTCAGAACCAAGTGTTACACCAATTTTTATTAGACATTGATATTGTCAAAATGTAATACAAATATAATAATGTTAATATTATAAATTTTTGTCCTTTGAAGCGAACTAATTAACAAAAATAATAATTTCTTTTAAATAAATATTTTAAATAAATATTTAGAACTTCGTGTAAAAAAAGTATTAAGCATTAATTTTTCACGAAATACTATAAAAGTCAATGAATAGTTCGTTAATTAATCAGCCACTACGTAAAACAATTTCAACATGCACAATTAAACCTTCCTTTTTAGGCCAAGTTAATACAATTGACCCTGAACTGTTTAAAAAACAAAAGGTCACAAATAATGCTTCTGTAGTTCATAAAAGGAAATAATAATCTTTATTTCAGCATTCTTAAATAACATTGGTTTTCAAATTATATTAAGTATATGCATTTACATTGCTATGTTCACTTGCTTGTGTTCTTAGAAGAAGTTACTTTTTAATATTGATTTACTAACGTGAATTGAAGATCAATGATTTTCTGATGTTATTGAAACACAAACTAAAATTTTGATAAAAGTGAATCTAACATTGTGCTATGATTATTGGTTCCGATGGAATAAAGTATGTTAAAAAAGTGCGAAATGTGTGTATCCAAATATTGCATTTCGACAGAGAAGTGTACAATAATAATTTATTAATTTGTCATTTGTGAACCCACGTTCTTCAATTAATTAAAATACTTCACAATTAAAGGAATATGCATTGTCAAAAATACCTGTAAATAATCTTACAATGTAACAAAAATTTTAAATAAACACTTCTTAACATTCCTTGGCGTATAATTACATATAATTCATTGATTGTTCTGTACGCACACTAAATTGTAATTATTAATTTAGTAATTATAAAAGAAATTGGTTAATTTTTCCGTTCCCCGATTTTAAAATTGCTACACCCCGATTACAAGACAAGACCCCTTTATTTAAGATCGGTATAGTTCGCCTCAGAGATGACCTCCCTTACTACCTTACCTTAAACGATTCGTTCACTATGCTATTTCCGAAAATATATAAAATAACAACTGATCGTGATCATGATCATAATCATAATAAATAATATAATAAATAATAATAATAGTTTATAATTTGCATTAACATTAAATGTTAATAAAGGCAAATCTTATGCATCGTCGATCGATGAGATATGATTGGTTTCTAGTCATGTGATCTGGCTAACTTTACACATAAAGAACGCAAATTAGAAAATACTATTGGTGAATTTATCTGCATCATCACTGCACCCATTATGTACTAACCCCAAGTCTTAAAATTTGGCTGAAATTGTTATAGTCTATGACGAAACTAAGTTACAACATAAACTTTACTGCATTTCTACGTAGTCAAGAATTACAAGAATTAGAAGGAAGACCTCTAAAATTTCTTCACATGGTTTTTACAACATCTACAGTATGACATGATGGCGGTATCGTAGAGACCTCAGAATTTGATTGATTATGATTTGCAGAGTTCAGAAGTTAGGATTTACCTTTACGTTAGCCAAATATTTATATTGATAACTTGTCAATGAATGTAACAATGGTAATTTACCATTTAAAGCTCCGCTTTAATTTCGTGCTACATTTGATTGGGTTTCACCTGATTTTTTGTACAAAAAAATACCCGTCCTTACTGATGGATCCTTGGTAATGTTCTGATAAATCCTCAGCACCGAGTAAGAAAAAAAGTTAAGAGATTTTTTTTTTAAAAAAAAAATATTATATATGTATATATATACTGTATATTAAGAAAAATCGGTTTTTTAGATCTCTCTCCTGATGAGGTAAGAAAATTATTTGCATACTGTATGTACGTACGTACGCACTTACCTATGTTTTTATGCTGCCGAAGTTAATCTTTAGACTGGTTAACCTTAGCGCCTTAAATTTATACAATATTTATAATGTAATTTACATAAGACAAACAAGTATGTAAACTTAAAGATGTAACTTACTATATATGTAAGTACAGAAGTAGTATAACTAGGTTTGATCTGCGATTTACATATTTATTGTCACATTTAATGCACAAATAGAAATTTGTTGTTTTCTTTTTTAGGGTTAGGTCAGAAATTTTAGAATACGTGCATCTACTTAATTTCGACACCAGCCACAGCAATAAATTAAAACATGTGTCCAACTAGCCGCAGAAGGGGTTTTTTTTTTACCTTCTACATCAATGCCAAAAAAAGGTTTATTAGAACAAGAATGAATCTAGTTAGTCTGATCACTCTTTTATTAATTAACGTTAAATCTTAACAAACAAATTCCAAAATTTTTAAAATTCTACCTTATAATAATAAATATTAAAAATTGAAACCAGGCTAACTGGTTCTGGAATGTTGACAAATCGTCAAATTGGCCCGTTACCTAGGTTGGACACACTAGCTTTTTCGGTGCATCATCGGTTTGTATGCAGTAACAATAAAAATGATTTCAATAAACTATAATTTGGGTCTGCCCAGCCTCATGGAAGACATTCTTATTATTGGTTAGATCTACCTGTGACAGGGACCCCATTTTGATTTCTGGATTTGTAAAAAAATTCATTTTCTATAATTAATAAAAAATAGCAATAATATACTGCATTTAGAGCACACGTTACAGTTAGATTTCTCTACAAGTGCACATTTTTATAAGTACACTTGTGTAGTGATTCCGTTTTTTAGCTGAGCAGACAAGAGTCGCGGCTATGACTTCTATGACTTGTATTATTAAAATTCATTTTCAGTGAACTTAGTACATGTACGAATAGATCTTCATTAAAGTTCCACCAATTTTAACTTTGACAATGTCAAAAGCTCGCCAGAATTATTGCTTTGTCAGCTAACCTGGGACTTTATGATCAGCTAACGGCTCTAACCCGACTCCACGTAACATAAGCTGAGCTGTTAATTACCTCGACTAAGTCGATCGGCTCACGAATCGTTTTACATCACTACACTATGTATACTTACAGAGAATTCACTTTCTATAAGGGAACTAACCCTTATTACGTAAATATAGCTTCCCCCGTTCCCCCGTTTGACAATTACAAATTCTGATGTAATCAAAAAACGTAATTGATAAAATTGATTACATTAGAATTTGCAATTGTCAAACGGGGAGGCTATATTACGTAATAAGTGTTAGTTAGTTCCCTAACTGCAACCTCCCAACTTAACTCATGTCTATTACCTGACCCGAATTAAAAATATGCTATTTCTTAATTTTGCCCGTCAAAATTTCCATTTTATACTGTTTTGTACTAAA